GCATGGACTAAGTCCATTTTATTCGCACGAAAAGCCCATTCCGCGGGAACTTTCGTGGATATCATTCCTGGTTGTCTCGCCGTAATCTATATCAGTTTAGCCATGTATGCCAGGCTTACAAACATCTTCTCCATGCGCAAAAAGCGTTTTAAGACAATCTGCCGCATCCTGCCACTTTGAGATTGAATTAAGCTTTACCGCTTTTGCTTACATCTTTATGGGAAAGATTGAGTAGACCATGATAAGCTTTCATTTTCCTAGATAAAAGTGCTTTTTGATTCAACTGGATTGGCGGCTGGAAGGGGGTAGGGGACTATATATCGCCGAAAATTGGAGGTACCGCCAGACATCCAAACAAACACACATTACAATACATACACAGGCTGAGTATCTGCTGCATTGTCTGTGCAAAGTCCCATCCACTTTGATCGATATATAGTCCTCTATCCGTTGGAAGCCTAGAGGATGATCAGAGAGCACGCTCGCCAGCGAGACGTCGCGAGCGCGAGTGGTCGCCTTCCAGCCGCCAGTCTCGTTGAATCAAAAGGTAAACGAATCAATAAATCAATGGAAGGGCCTAGCGAACCGCGTCGAAAAGTAGCTTATATTTCCCGCCTAGTCGAGTACGTGGATGTGCAAATTAAGCTCAATCGTTTGAACGGCGGGCGTTTCTATAACGAACACAACTTAATGGACATCCTTACAGACTTTGAGTTTTATTTGTATATAGATTTTCCTCGGTCAAGAGACAGAAATACGAACTGGTTTTCTTCCAAACCGTGAAGCACGGTTTGTGACTCAGCATTATGCTTCAAAGTTGCGACGATGAGGACTTCCTCCGGACAAGCTCAGAGACTTTCAGTCTCATTCAAATAATTTAGGTACATTCGCAACCGCAAGGCGAATGATTGTTCATCCAAAGTTCACGAAATCGTACTCTTACAACACGTTTATAACGCTTAACAACTTTGGAGTAGAAGTCAAAATTTTTGACGGCACAGCTGAAATAGTACAGTGGATACACAAAAGTCTTAGAGTTAGTTCGCAAACAACAATTTGAATCTAACGTTTACTACAAAAAGTTTACTTAAGGCAGGTTTCATCACTGCTTGTCCATTTGAACTGTGGAGAACCACCGAAACACAGAAAGTAAGAGTTAGTATAATTCTTGACAGTGCTGAGTAGATGGGAGGCATTGCGGTAATTTTTAGATAGTAAGAGAGAGTACAATTACTAGAGATCCGACTATGTCAAAATCGAACCAAAGGTGCCCTATTTTTGCTTGGGCCAGCCACTATCAAGTTAGCTATTTCGACTGTTTTCTTCTCTGCTTCATTGAAAACTGCATGATTATCCTTGATAAATTCGCTCAGATTGCTTTCAAATCGGGAATGTTCGAGTCCGAAGCAGTCTTTACTATTTCCGGATCAGCTGAAGTAAGTCCAGAATAATCAATCATCAAGCTTGCCCAGAAACATGCTCAACTGCATCTAATTTGATCGGAATTTGTGAAAAAAGTATGAGAAAGCTAGATTATGGCAACGAGTCATGCAGCACAATAAAATGGAGAGAGCTTCATATTGCATTCAAACACATACCTCAAAATGCATTCCATTCCCCTTCTAAGTCGTTTTGCAGTTTTTTATATGAATTCGATCATGCTTGAGAAAAAACAAAATCATTTCATAGTGGATTTTTTGCATCTGCAACTCATTTAGACAAAAGGAGAAGAGATATATGTGCGTTTTCATAGTGAGAAGCCAAAAATGAGACATTGCAGCGCTGGTGAGTTTTATATAAATTTGAAGGTACATATCTTAAACTGGCGGGATGCAAATCGCCTTTAGCAAATGATAAGAAAAGTGACCAAGTGTGAATACCAGTTCAATCCGTACCAATGTCAAGACTTTTTCGTGCACGAAACCTAGCGATACTATCATAAACAAAAACAAATTAGAGTTGCCATAGCGCCTATGAATCTTTTCCATTGTCTCGTCTTTCTTCGTCTGATAAATGCCATCAAGAGCTTCTTCTTATGGAAGCTGCTGTTTACAACAGCTGTTTGTTTCTGTTTAAAGTTCACAATTTCCATTTCATCATTTATTTTTGAGGCAATACTGGATTGCTAGAAATTCCAACAAACTCTTCTAACATCTTTCTTTATTTTATAACCGACCTAGAGCGATCTATGAATGGATCCCAACTACTCAATCTAATCAGAGAAGCACAAGAGGTTAGCGCACTCTAAAACTACTTGATTCTCATGCTATACTTCACAGACTACACCTGAGACACATACGGCTTACATTCCGCTGTGGTGGTCTTTCAACAAATCGTCCAACGTTGCCAAAGGAATCAAAGTATGGACTGTTTGAGTAATACTGCTTCGTGACGAAGGCGGTCGCCCAAGTAGGTTGAGAGCATGTAGGGCTGACGCGCACGCGGCGCTCGCG